TTTATATTCAGTTTGGTCCCTATTACTAATATGATTATTATTACTAATGCTAAATTAACTATGACTACATTTATTATACATTCACTACTAATTACTATCATAGACTTTCATATTACACATTTATTCATGCGTATCACTATACTCGATTACTCTACCCGATTCAAATGTGACTCTGACCCATCGAACCCAGCCACGTGATGATATCCGCAGCACAATCGTGTGATTTGAAATTCCTAATTTCAATTTGTTTGTTCATCAAGTCACATTTCACGTGATCTGTACAACCCCGATTGATGTAATCTACATCTAAACCCTTACACTCTCCCCTATTTAAAACATTTTCCCTATTTGTTTCGAATACTTCTACTAAATTCTTACAGTTCCCCAGGTTTGTTAGAGGTTTCTAAGTAGTATCGTAAAGTGGATAGCCCTTCTACTTCACAAGATATTGGACTTGGCAATGAAAAATTCGTTTGTCTAATATATTTTCAACTTCGAATTTAGGTTCCAAGTCGTGTTCCAGGTCATGTTCCATAAAGATTGGGGGAGGAGGCTAAGTTATATTTCTTCCTTCAAACTCATTTTGATGATACAACTTTAGTAGCAAAATATGAAAAACTAGGTGAACATGTAAGGAGTCGGGTAACTCTAATTGGTAGGCTGTGGTAGAAATTTTCCTTATAATTTTAATTGGTCCTACAAAATCCGGAGTAAGTTTTTTTGTTGGATGTTTCAAATTTTCGGGTGAGGTTAAATTTGCAGTATTCAACATTACTAAATCTCCTTCATTGAATTCTTCATAGCGCCTTTTCCTATCAGCATAATACGCTTGTTTTTTTTGGGCACTTACCAACTCATCTCTTGTGACATTAATCATTGTTACCCAATGTTCCAACAATTCCTGTGCTGCCTCTGTTGGCGATTGGTGACAATTAAACTAGGAGGGGTAATAGGATGGTGACCATTATCTATTTGAAAGGAAGTAAATCCTGTAGAGGATTGTAATGAATTATTGTAAGCAAATTCAGCAGCTGTTAGAAGCTGATCCCAATCATTTTGCTTGTTATTTACGTAGGCACGAAGAACTTCTTCAAGTATTCGATTCATATGCTCCGTTTGTCCATCGGTTTGAGAGTGCGTGGCAGTAGACATTTTCAACTCAGTTCCTAAAATTTTAAAGAGACCTTTCCAAAATTTACTTGTGAATTTTGGGTTCCTATCTGAAACTATATATCGAGGTAGGCCATGATGTCTAAATATTTCATGGAAATAGAGCTGTGCTACCTTTATTGCTGATACAGTTCCCTTCGTGGGTATGAAATGTGTCTTTTTACTTAGTTTATCCACCACCACCATGATTGAGTCGTTACTGTTTTTTGTACATGGTAGGTGTGTGATAAAATCTATCGAAATTGCTTCCCAGGGCTGCGTAAAAATTTTTAAAGATTGTAACAACCCTGCTAGAGCTTGTGTGGAACCTTTGTTACGCTGGCAGCTATCGCAGCTATGTATATATTTTTTTATGTCCTTTGCCATTCCCTTCTAATAATAGTGCCTTCTCAATCCTTCATATGTTTTTTCGAATCCAAAATGACCACACAAATCATGTTGTTCTTTAAGCAACTACAAACGTGTTTTGGATCTTTTTGTAAGGCACAACTAAGGGTTTTCTTTATCTTTATTAAAGAAAATCAACCCATCTTTTTGTAATTCAAAACGATTTAACTGTTTGCCCAACTTCTTTGCTTCATCACAATTAGGGTCCTTTAATACTTTTAATATTATTTGAAAGTAAGTATCTTCATCATATTCTTATTTGATACTTTCATACACACTTTCGTCTATATTTACTTCACTGACAATGTTAGCTTTGGGTCTTCTTGATAGGGTATCTGCTACGATATTAGTTTTTCTAGTCAGTATTTAATAGTAAAATTGTATGCTTGTAGTGTTTCAACCCAACGGGCTTGTCTATGGGATAACTTGGCTTGGGATTGCAAGTATTTTAATGACTCATAATCTGTGGTTATTTGAAATAATTGCCCTTCCAAGTATACCCTCCAAACCTTTAGGGTATGTATAACTGCTAAGAGTTCCTTTTCATATACTAGATAGTTTAATTCGGCTGGTGTTAACTTTCTAGACTTATAGGCTACAGGTTGGTCACCTTTTCCATGATCCTGGCATAAGATTGTACCGATTGCCACATCAGATGCATTGGTTGTAACTAAGAAAGGTTTATCAAAGTCAAGTATTAATAGGACTGGGGCCGAAGTTAACACATCCTTAAGGGCTTTAAATGCTAGTTCTTGAGATTCGTTTCAAATGAACTTTTCATCCTTCTTCAGTAACTTGGTTAATAGGGTTGCTGTGGTTGAAAAGTTCAGTACGAACTTGTGGTAATAGCTTGCAAGACCCAGAAAGGAGTGAAGATCATGAATATTAGTCAATACAGGCCATTCTTGAATGGCAATAATTTTCTTAGGGTCTGCTTTAATTCCATTACTGGATACCTAAAAACTCAACTTCAGTTTTCTCTAACTCATATTTTGATATTTTCCCATACAGCTTATGATGCCACAGAATTTCAAAGACCTGACGCACGTAATCATAATGTTCATTTTTATTTTTACTGTACACTAATATATCATCTAAATAGACGATAATGCTTTTATCAAACTGATCCTTAAATATATCATTCATTAGTCTCATGAAAGAAGCAGGTGCGTTGGTCAGCCCAAACGGCATGACACAAAATTCAAAGTGTCCATATTTTGTTCTGAACGCAGTTTTATGAACATCGTCATCCTTTATTCTTATCTGGTGGTAACTAGAATAGAGATCTATCTTACTAAAATATTTTGCACCATGCAATTGATCAATTAATTCATCTATACGCAGTAAGAGGTACTGGTTTTTTATTGTTATCTTGTTGAGGGCTCTATAATCAACGCACATTCTAAGAGTCTCTTCTTTTTTTGCTACAAATAAAACAGGCACCCCGTAGGGTGATGTACTTGGCTTAATTATTCCTTTATGCAAATAGTCTTCAATTTGTCTTTTCAATTCCTTCATCTCAGGAATTGATAAATGATATATGGGGCCATATGGCAGAGGACTTCCTTCTTGCAATGGAATCTTATGATTGATACTTCTTTTAGGTGGTAACTCATTTGGGAGATCTTTGGGAAATAAGTCCTTATATTTATGAACCAGATCTTTTAAAAACTCTGATATTTGATCCAATACAAAGTTTTTATTTAAATCTTGGACGGAAAGTACTACATATAACTCTGCCGTGTTTTTGGCCTCTTTAACAAATTGTTTCCTTGTTACAAGGATTGACTGACAAGCTTTTGTATCTTCTAGTTCATTAGCCTTAATTACAAAAGTATGATGTCCTTTTTTTATTTTCATCTTATTACTTCTCCAATTGACGTAGGGATTGTTGTCAAAAAGCCATAGTTTTCCTAGAATCAAATCATACTTTTGTAAGGATATAACTTCCATGGTTTTTCTTTTTTCCTTATACCCTTGGATTTCAACAGAAATGTCCATTATATTCTCTTGTAATGTGCATAAAGAACCATCAGCTAATTCTACTGTTGTGGAGTTCGATTCTTTCTCTTTCATTTCTAGTTGGAAGTTTTTCATGAATTGGAGGTTTATAAAATCTTTAGATGCTTCAGAGTCAATTAAGATAAGTGCCTTCTTTCCTTGGACCTTTCTTTCCACCTTTAAAAGGTTTTCTCTATTTGACTCATTACATTTATTAATTGTTCTTATTTCAGTTGTTTCTTTTGAATTTATCTTTTCAGCCTTATTAATTTCATTATTCATCCGAACTTTACTTCGACATTCTTTTGTGGTATGACCTTTCCGGCCGCAGGTAAAACATAGTCTTTTCTGTCTATACTCTCTTCGTGTTTCTTCATTCAACGTATTTTTTCTTTCTTACGATTAGACTTGACATTTGATGAACTTCCTACTTCAACTTTATCCAATTCCATCAGAATTGGATCTCTTGTTTGTTGTGGTGTGTATTTACTAAAAGGTTTGTTATTTTTCCAACTCCTATGTGAAGTTTGCCTTAAATTATTTACCGGGTATCGTTTGTTAACATTCTTCGCCGCACTGTACATCGCAGTGTCATAGCTTGCAGCTAACTTTACTGCATCATCTAGGGTTTTAGGCGCTCAGTAATTTACTTCCACTTTAGTTGCCCCTTTCAGCCCTTCTGTGAAATACATAACCTTATCTGCTTCATGCATTCTATCAATTTGACCAAGAAGGTTTCAAAACCTTGCGGCGTATTCCTGGACGGTCATGGTTTGCTTTAAGTCCCTCAATTGGCGACGTAGAAGTTGTTGGTGATGGGTGGTTGGAATGCAGTTTTTATACCCTCTGCAAATGAATTCCAATTCTCAAATAGTTGTTGGTTTTCGTGGGCTTGTACCTGATTTAGGTACCATTGTAAAGCCGCATCCTTGAGTCCTGTAATTACATAT